AAGTGAAAATTGCCAAGTCTAAAGAAGCTTCCGAACAGCTGATCGTTCACAAATGTTTGCTAATAAAAAAAATAATATTTCACAATTAAAAGTTTGGAATTTTACTAAATTCGACACCAGGTAAATTACTCGCATTTGCTCGTGCTGTATTAATTTTATATCTCGCTTAATTTACTTCAGACAAGGACTAGCGCCCATCTTGGTCTCTTCTTTTGCTGCAGACTAGTACGCAGTATTTCTTAAGCTCAGGATTTTGCCATCCTCAAGCTCTATAGATGACACACATTCCTCTCTGGCAACGGAGGTTTTACTTTTAACTGATCGCGCGATTTTTTTGTTGAATGGTTTCTTCTCATCATAACCAAGAATTCTCCATTGTTTTCCTACATACGTGTTCTTATTACTCGTACAAGGGGATTACTTTCATGGGATTATAGCCGCGTAATATTTTATTATTTTTGATTCAGTTAAATATATTTATACGTACATTTTTTTATTGTATTTATTACTTTCATTAAAAGCTACAATCGACTTTAGTTCAATAATAGCAGAAAATAAGACAATATAATCAACGCTCCTTCATTTCACTGCTCCCCAATACCTCTAATTTACGCGTCATTGTATTAGTATCTAGAAAGGAGTAAGGAACACATCGTGTGTTTATAGAACAACTTTCCTTGCCGGAACTAAATCGCTAGCTATTTAGGTGCTTAAGATGATGCACTGCATCCTAACACTTCATGTTGAATTCCAGAGCACATGGCCTGGCGTCTTCTTCAACGTTGAAGCCCTGGAGGTATGCAATGCTCTCAGGTTAGCGTGGTCCGACGGGCTGTTATTAGCGTCTGCCAACGCTTGCCTCTGGCTATCAGCGGGAATCAGCTATCGGAGAAGCTCTATTCCCTCTGCCATCTCCCTTTCACCCTGACGCCTACTCCAGCAACTCCATCTGCATGTTGGCGCAACATTATATTGTCTCACGGGTGCGGTCTATTTTGAGAAGGAAACATTACTCAACTAATCTAAAACATTTTATCAATGACTTTGCACTCTCTTTCATTACGATGTTTGCTTATCTAGCTTGTTTTTTACTGCAAACGTGCATTAATGGAAGTTTATTGCAGTATTTTCTAGGACAGAGAGAAAATGTTATTTAATAAATAGTTTCTACAGTCTCAACAAATGTCCATTTGGTAGTTGTAAATAATTTGTTGAATGCCAGCATTATAAACGACCATTTCTGTTCCAAGAAATAGTTCATAAAAGGGCATTTCACAGCACAAATGATGACGTATTACATTTTACAGCAAACGGAACTGCTGATCACCTTTTCGCACAAATAAGAAAATGCAAGCTGATCACCTTTTCGCACACAAGAAAGTTGTTTCACAAAATTTTCTTCTCTTATAAAGTTTGATTCTCTATGAATTTATAATGAAGTTATACAAAATAGAGCCTATATCACTCGGTTATAATGTTGCTTTTTGCGTTCGTACAAGTATGAAACTCGCTCCTTAATATAACTCGCTCCAATAAAGCTTAACATTACGAAATGCATACGCAACTACTATTACATTATCTATAAAGGAAAAATGGGATCTCTTAAAAGTATTTTAAGCAAGAAAATACACGGCCTGTAGCACTTTCAATAAACCAAGGTCTACGTCAGTTTTTTCATAGCAATTTGTTCTATAATTAAAAATACAAACAAGTGGTTTAAATGCATTAATCTACTTGCGTTCGCAGTCGGGTTAAAATAAAAATATTCATCTTTTTTATTACCATACTAATTTTTTTCATTTTTTGTAATCTAAAACTAAAAAGAGATGTTTGATTCTTCGATCATCAAAAGGAGTTGACATGGAAAGCCCGAGGTGGAGAAAACAGATATATCTTAGGAAATCATCTAGCATTGCTGTCGATGTTGAAAAGAAACGCTATAAAGTACGTGAGAACTATTGTGGTTAATGATATATGCTAAATTAGAATTCATATCGATTAGTGAAATATTTATATCATGAACATATCACACTCCTACGATAGTGCTCTCATTGGTTGAAAATCGCACTCGCACTGAGGAATTTTATTTTAGCACAATATATGGGTCCGTAGGAGTACGTGAAATATTATCAATCCATGAAAACATTTCAAAACAATAATAGATTGTTTCTGAACGAAAACATATAGTAACAATGTAAAGTGCAAATCTTTAAACAAACATAAGTCTTAGTTACACCTACGAAATATCATAATTCAAAAATGGTGCATTTTATGATTTCAAGGGATATAGTCTGAAGTAAGAAAAAAATAATTTATTAGTATTTGTATTTATATAATATTACCAAACACATTTTCCTACTTTTTTGTTTTACATAACATTATATTTTTCCTTCTTTCCTTTTGTTCTTTTATTGAGTATGTGTTTTAGTTCATTATTTTTTGTACTAAGTTCCTAGGTATAAGCACATCCATTGACTCTGTAGGTTTTTTACTATTCTTTATTTAACAATATTAAAAAAGACAATAATGAATAATAACAATAA